ACAGGGCAGGTCAAATAACTGTTCCTTCAAATGAGGCTTTTCTGGGAAGCTGCCAGAAGAAGTCAAATAATAATATGAGTGCTTTGGGTTGGGACTTTCTGAGGTGCTCCAAACTGTTCTGCCCCCGAGTAGCTGCACAGCCCTAGGTTTTCACCGTTGCCATGGTTATGAGATGGCTGGTTTTGAAGGTTACTGTGAAGCTAGGAGAAGGAGGGTGGGAGCAAGGCAAGTTTAATTTCCAGAAAGCTCACTGATCGTACTGGGAGTCAGCAGCTTTTCTTTAAGTGGTCTTGGCAAGCTGTCAGGTTAATTTGTGGTTTTGAAAGAATTGTTTTTTTGACAATTTTTGTCAGTATTGTTCTTGCTTTTATTGAGGATTGGCTTTTCAAAGGTACTTGACCGTTCCAAAGTCTCACCCAAGATAATTGGATTTTAAAAGAGGCTGCTTCTTACCCAAATGATTCTGTAGTTGATGGAATTTCTAGTAGCTTAGCCAGTGAGATTAAAATATTCCCGTTAGGATATATTAAAAGGGGAATATTTATGGAATATTAAATATTAAAAATCTGCAAGTTTCCTAAAATCCCCCAAGTTCTTTTTGAGGTGCTCAAAAATTTTGATGCTTATCCTTATTGCAGGTGATGCAGTTGAAACTTCATATAGTTGCTTTGATTGCCCAGAAGGGAAATTTTTCCAAAACTTCAGCTCAGGTTGTCTTAGATGGCCTTGTAGACAAGATTGGAGACGTGAAATGTGGGAACAATGCAAAAGAAGCTATGACTGCGATAGCCGAGGCTTGTATGTTGCCATGGACGGCTGAACAGGTCAGTGACGCCGCTCTCTCAGGTTCTCCCCGTTTGTTCCCAGGTTTTAATCTAAGTTTCATAAGTTAGACTTTAATGCTTATCTTCAGTAAAATTCTTTTCTGATGCTGCCTTTTTATTTTTATCGTAGCCAGTGGTGTTCTGTATGAGAAGTTTTCTCTTGAGACATTATAATCCACAGTGATCACTAATGCCAGGCTGTGAGCAATCCGGGATGGCTCTACTACTACTGTCACTTCATGTTATTGTGTAGATCAAATAAATTTTTCTTAAGGCATTCTTGAAGTTGTTTGAGCATCAAAAGACCATGCTTACCTCATGTCCGCTCTAATATCATGGTAGATTTCTAGAAATCTACAAGAAGAAGCACAGATTCCTTGTTCTTTTCCCTGCTCTAGGTGATGTCAATGGCTTTCTCACAAAAGAATCCCAAGAACCAGTCAGAAACTCTGAATTGGCTATCCAATGCCATAAAAGAATTTGGCTTTTCTGGGTAAGTCAGAAAGAAATCAAGTAGAAAATAATTCAGTGTTTTGCCAATCTATATTTGGTGATTTTTTTCTGTGGTAGCCATTTCTGCTTATTTCTGAAGCACGCTAGCTGGGGTTTTCTAAACTTGTGTAAAAGAAAAACCACTTTTGTTCTCAGCAGTTTATATTGGCTTGTATTCCTACATCTTTTTTTGGTAATCTTTATTTTTTCAGTATTCTGTAGACTGACCTAGAGGTAAAAGAAAATGACTGAAATTTAAGTGTCAAAGAAGTTTTTACAATTAAATCCACAGTTGTATACATTTATCTTACTCACATGTCAGTTAAAAACTCACCAACTATTACAAAACAGGACAAATTACATCACGAAAGAACCAAAAAATAGCAAAGAATTTCATAAACAACATACCCAACTATGGAAACCATTGCCCTCTTGGTGTCTTCGCATCCTTCTCATCTGCGTACTTATGTACAGCACGCTGTTCCCACGGATGAACGCGCCCCGTACTTATTCTTCAGCGGCCCCTTCACGGCCTCTTCTGTCTGCTCCAGAGCTATTTCATGTAGCCATCCAAGCAAGCCAGGACCCCTCGAGAATCCACTCCAGAATTGAATTTTACCACAACTGGCCATCAGATGATTTGCTTCAAAAAGTCACTGGGGGTTTGCTTCCGCAGACTCAATTTAATAATCCTCGAAACTGGGCTCCAGAATCTATTCCTACATTTTGATATCCATTTTCCCTCGAGTGCTAATAGCCGTCCAACAAAAAAGCCAGTTTCAAGGATTTCTAGCCAATACATTCGGAAATTACTACCAATGATGACACTTGTTTAGAGACCAACAGTGTACCTTGGAGAATTAAATGCACCCAGAAGTCCACAGCAGAAGTGCTTGTTTCACCCTGTTTAAAGAACTGTTTTCAAATTTTATTTGTATATAGAAACAATTTGTTTTATTTAACAAAATTTTATAGACCACACTTTATTCTAGGCACTTTTATTTCATGAGAGATTTTTGCTGTAGGGCACGTGCACTAGCTGGAGAGACAGACAGAAAGTGAGAAATTACTTAAGCTTTCTGTGCCTCAGTGCCCTCTGCTGTACTATGGACACAACAGTACCTCACATAGGTTTTTATGAGACCCAGGGAATAGCAGATGCAACAGCTCTGTGGTTGGAGCACGTGTGAAGTATTTGTAAATAGCCAGGAGTGTTTCTCTGCAGGATGTAGCCAGAGCAGAATGAGAGTGCTAGGGAGCGGTAGGAGGTAAGAGGCCAACTTTACAGGACCTCAGAGTTTTGCTTAAGCTGAGAAACCATTAGAGGATTTTTGAGCAGACTCATAAAAGGATTATCTGACTATAGGAAGAGAGAACAGATAGTAAGGATCAAAGACAGGGATACTAATGAGCAGGGATCATCCTGTCAAGAAACTACAGTGTCTTGGGCATAGATTGTAAAGGGGCAGAGTTACGGCTCAAAATACGTTCTGAAAATAGAACTGAATGGGATAGTGGGTGTAAGAGAGTCAGGTCACAAGACCGGCAGTTAGCATAATGGCTATGTCGCTGGACTCCCATGTAGTCGACCGCGGTTCGCATCCCAGACCTGGTGGCTTAAAACACGCTGGGCGCGTGTGCGTGCGTGCCCAAGATCCCGAGAGGAGAGTGGAGGAGAAGGGATTGCGGCATGGCCATCCCCCATGGCGGGTGATTTCTCGCTTTCTGTCTCTCTTTCTCTCTGGCAAGCGCACGCGCCCTATAGCAAAAACCTCTCCAAAAAAAAAAAAAGAGAGAGTCAGGTCAGGGGTGACTATGAGGACCAACAAAGGCTTAACAACTGGAAGAACGATATGACTCCTTACGGAGGTAGAAAAACTGGGAGAAACAGGTTTGTGGGGGGGTGGGGCATTCGAGTTGGTTTGGCCATATTAGATACAGTATGTCTGCTAGACAGACAAAGGGAAATGTCATGGAGGCAGTGGATACGTGAGTCTGGAGTTTAGGAGCGAGTTTAAGACAGGTTTGGTTTTGTTTGCTACAGGGCACATGTGTTAACCTGAGAGAGAAAAAGATGAGGGAAGATGAGAAATCACCCCTGCAGGGGTAATGACCACACCACTGTCCCTTTTCCTCCCTTCTCCTCTTAGGATTTTGGCCACACACACGTGTCCTATGTGATTTTCAAGCTTCTGGATCTGGGACCCAAACCACTCAGTTGGCCATGTGGTATCAAGCTGCTTTACCCTCCACACCACTTGCTTATCCCAAGACAGATTTTAGGAGTCTTAATTGTATAATAAGATTATCAGCACATAGAGAATATTTAAGGCTTACTCTGAAGTGAGTATAGAAAGAGAGCATTTGAGAACTCTTCTAAAAAGAACCCAGTCCTGGAGTCAAGTGTTATCAATTTTTTTTTTTTATTTTTTTTATTTTTT